GGCCTGTTTACATGGAAACAAATGTGTCCCGCTCCTCCAAGTTGAATCAACCCACTTCCTGTGAGTCTAGGACTTCATGGACCCCGCCCCCTAGGAGCCAGTCTGGGCTCCGATCCTACTAGGTTGCAGGCAGGTGCCGTCTTTGTCCCTTTATTGGAGGGCACAGCCTTGGAGGGAGACCCCTTGTTAGTGCTTCTTGGAGGGACACCCCTGAGTAGTGCTGCATGTAGGGGGACCCCTGGTTAGTGCTGCATGAAGGGGGGTCGGTGGTTGGTCCTGCGTGGAGGGGGACCCCTGGTTAGTGCTGCATGAAGGGGGGGACCCCTGGTTAGTGCTGCATGAAGGGGGGGGCCCGTGGTTGGTCCTGCGTGTAGGGGACCCCTGGTTAGTGCTACCCCTGGTGAGTCCTGCATGGAAAGGGGACCCCTGGTTAGTGCTGCATGAAGGGGGGGGCGTGGTTAGTGCTTCCTGGAGGGGACCCCGGGTTGGTACAGGTAGGGTCACCCCGGAGATGGAAGAATCTATCTGGTGGTTACAACGTTGCGGCATCCACAGCACCAAGACACCTCCTCTGATCCCGCTGGATTGATGTTTCGGTGGCCCCCTGCGTGTCCCCGCGGTGATCATGAATGGAGGAGCGGCGGGGGGCGGCTCTCTGACAATTGGCGGACAAATTTGTTGTTCCTCTGTAATGAAGGCGAATGGCAGGAATTTGCATCTCTAATGGGCCCCGTGTTCTGCTCGGGAATGATTCTAATAAGCTTTCCAGCAATGCGGGCTGATTGATGACCCTTCTGGGGGCCCATTTCTCCTCGCCTGTCATTCTAGAAAGCGGTCGCTTATCACAGATATAACAGGCTGTCTGCGCGGCGGTGCCTCCTCGTGATTGGCCCATGTCTGTGCCCTGTAAGGAGCCACATTGTAATCTATTCCTAACAAAGGGAATAATCTAAATCATCGGTAGCAAACCTCCGGCCCCTCCAGCTGTGTTGACAACTGCAAATCCCATGATGCATCTCTCTCCGGGAGTCATGTCTGTGAGAATGTTGCAATGCCTCATGGGATTTGTAGTTCCACCACAGCTGGAGGGCCGGAGGTTTGCTACCCCTGATCTAAATGCTTGTGGCCCCGCTCCAGGCTGACCGTGCGCTCCGAGCGCTTAAAGGGCCCCCTGGAAATCGTCTCGCTCCCAATGCTTTGCCCATAGAAGTCAATGGAGATGCATCTGATTTTGAAGCCTTGGTTCCCTTGGGCAATGCTGCGAACGCCTAACACTTTAAATCCTAATTTTTATAAACGCACAGGAACGGTGCGTCCGTAATGTATGTCCACGCACACAGGAGACGCCTCCACGCACACACATCACTCTCCGTGTGAAATGGATGTACAGTGACGCACGCCGTCCTCTGGATTCGGTTTCCTCGTCATGGCTCGTTGCATGGTCTGTGGTCTTGGCGTGGTACCAGGCTGTGCTCCCCCACTGGCTGGCAGTCTGGCGGTGCGGGGTGCGGTGCAGTCTGGGGGTGCGGGGTGCGGTGCAGTCTGGGGGTGCGGTCCGTTGTGCCCGGTGTTAATCTTAAGCCGTCACCGCCGGTGTGAGCTCATATTTGGGAGAGAAAATGTCCACATTGTACTCGGCCCTCCGCAGCTGCTGCCCTGCCGGATGAGCACATTTGTTTGTACAAACTTCTCCGAGCTGAGATGTTTTATTGGTCGTGGCGTCCATCCTCCAGGAGGGAGGAGAGAGCCCGGCTCTGTGTACTCCATACCATGGGGAAGGGCCGAGACCACCTGGGGAGTCATAGGGATTGGTGGATCGCTCCATCAACATCACAGATACTATAGGTGGAGACTACTGGAGGAAATCTCACCATTGTGGGAGGGGCAGAGGCACAGACTACTGGAGGAAATCTCACCATTGTGGGAGGGGCAGAGACATTACTGGGGGGAATCACACCATTGTGGGAGGGGCAGAGACATTACAGGGGGGAATCTCACCATTGTGGGAGGGGCAGAGACATTACAGGGGGGAATCTCACCATTGTGGGAGGGGCAGAGACATTACTGGGGGGAATCTCACCATTGTGGGAGGGGCAGAGACATTACTGGGGGGAATCTCACCCTTGTGGGAGGGGCAGAGACATTACAGGGGGGAATCTGGCATTTGTTTGAACCCATATGTTAGGTGGCGCTCTCCTTTTAATATTACAGGCTATGTACAGAGATGATATGTGATAACCGTGTGTTACACCATCGCACTCCATCGCACTCCATCATCCTCCATCCCGGGCGGAAGGCGAGCAGTAATTACCTTCTTCTATTACTTGTGTGTCCCCGGGGGGTCGGAGCCTCTCGGATGGAGCTGTGAAAATAAAGCCGATCCATATTTAATAACATTTAGATATAATCCGTGTTCTCCGTACATCTCTGGAAGTTGGCGTGTAACCCGAGCGCCGCGCCTGACCTTCGATCAATTGACATCCAGATCCATTTACTGTGTGCACCTCCTGAAACAGATCCACTCCGAGGTGCTCTTCATCCACGCTCCCCCATCATCTGCTCCGGGCCCTTCATGTATCACATGATGTAGTGTACATAGGACGCCGTGTATGACATCCTCGTGTCGTGTCCATCCTTCCTCTCCATACGCTATATTTGCTGTGGAGGTGTATGGAGTGCTTTGCCGGGACTAGGAAATCTAGGGCTGGTCATACATTATACAATGTGATTGTACGTCAGATTCACCCGTCATATGAGGTCACACCTGAGGAATCCATTCAGCTTGTACCGGGCCGGCCACACACATAAGCTGCACCTGTTGGCATTGGTGTAAGGGGCGATCATACAATCAGATTGTGCACTCTGTCCGCTCTGTACCCAGAATCCCCTGCAGTCGGGCTGCCCACACACACAAGCTGCGCCTGTTGGTGTTGGTGTAAGGGGCGATCATACAATCAGATTGTGCACTCTGTCCGCTCTGTACCTTTACCCAGAATCCCCTGCGGTCAGGCCGGCCACACACATAATCTGCGCCTGTTGGCGGCGCCCCCCCCCTCCTGAGCTCATGATTTTCCTCTCCTCTCTTCCAGCTTTCTTTGGCAAGTACCTGAACGAGTACAACGGCTCGTACGTGCCCCCGGGCTGGAAGGAATGGGTCGGCCTGGTGAAGAACTCTCGTTTTTACAACTACACGCTGTGCCGAAACGGCGTCAAGGAGAAGCACGGCTCGGACTACGGCAAGGTGAGACGATTCGTCACCGGGGTGGCCCCGCGCCATGTGGGGGGCCCGGTGGAAAGTGTGACGCTGTGTCGGGCTATGTATGTTATTACGGCCTCAGAGGTCTGGGTCAGTCCCGGAGTAGGAGGGCTAGAACCCCCCCCCGTCTCTGCCTTCTGTACTCCTTCCAATGGTTACATTGTATCTCTTTTCATTGTAACATCCCATTTATGATCTGCAACAGAATTCGTTATTCCGTTTCTTTGTATCTTCTTATTCTTGTCCGGTCTGAAGTCCTCCCATCGCAACACAATACAACATTCAAGGTGCAGGGATTGTAGTCCATCAATCCCTACATCCCATGGGTTTTATGATTCAGACTGACCTCCCTGCAGACCGCAGGTCAGATAGGTAATAGGGTCATGGACCCGCCCCCTGCCTGTAACTGATCAATAATCAATGAGGAGGGAATTGAGTGATCCAACATGTGGGGGGTGTTACAATGTTATATTAGAGAACTGCTGCTGGTCCTCTTCTCTTGTGGACTTTTTTCAGAGCGGGAGCCGCCATCGATCGGCCGTGTATTTCACGTTTTATCGAACGCTGAAAGCGGCCGTCACCAATTATTTTCAGATACTGGGATCCTACGTGGAGGGGGAGCGGCGGAATTCTGTGTCTGAACGCTGCGATCCCCGCTCCGCTCCTCCGACACTCCCTTGTCAGGTGAAGATAAAAGGATGAAATGCTATTGATCGGCTGACTGCGCCTTTTATCTGGAAGGTCCCGGCTAATATTCAACGCGTAAACGATCGCCCCCCCTCCAAAGCAGAGCCGCCAAAATGTTACAATGACAAGCCTGAGCGGAATAAAACCGCTCCGCGCTGCACCGAAGGGGAAGAAATACACAGCGGACCGATGACTCCTGACCGGGAACGTTCAGAAATGACACCAAATTTACATTAAAGTGGACTTGTCACTGACAAATCTCCATGAACAACAAGGTCATTATTCAGGAAAGTAAAAGCCGTCCTGGAGCTCCAATTAGTGAATGTGCCCAGGCTGAGATGATGTCATCAGTCTGCTGCAGGCAGGAGGAAGCATTTCCTCAGTCTCCCCTCCCCCAGTGATCAGTCTGCTGCAGGCGGGAGGAAGCATTTCCTCAGTCTCCCCTCCCCCAGTGATCAGTCTGCTGCAGGCAGGAGGAAGCATGTACATGTAGCCAGATTACTGTGGCCTCCCTGTGGTGGGGTTATTGTGCCCGCAGAGGTCAGGAAACAGTCAGAATTGTGACATATGCTGTTTTTTTTCCCCCCCGCAGGATTACCTGACGGACCTCATCACCAACGACAGCATCAGCTTCTTCCGCACCTCGAAGAAGATGTATCCTCACCGGCCCGTGCTCATGGTGCTGAGCCACGCGGCCCCCCACGGCCCAGAGGACGCTGCCCCGCAGTATTCCCAGATGTTCACCAACGCCTCCCAGCACATGTAAGTCCGCCCCGTCCTGGCCGCACCTCAGATACTCCGACTGACTGACAATCCGTCATATAACACTATTGTAGATCAGGTTTTGAGACACATCGGGCTTTCTTTTGGTGTTATTTAGGAATAAGTGACATTTTTATTTTTCCCCTATTGAAAAGAGAACTATGGGTAGGGTCCGTGTTTTACCCCCAGAGTTCTCTTTAGGGTCACGGGAGGACCTATACTAACCTCCTCCCGTGACCCAAAGCTCATTATATAGCAGGTAATTGCCCGCGGCATACTGAGAGCACTGCAGCCAGGACGGATCCCGACATTACTGTCTGGATCCACCCAGCTGCGTGAGTGACAGCTGGCTCTGCCTATCTAGAGGCAGAGCCAGCTGTGCCCAGCCCCCTCCCCCCCGCCCCCGCCCTCCTTTCGTTACGCCTGTCAGGAGGGGAGGAATCCCTGAAGGGAGCCGTGACTGACCGTCACCGCTCACTGCAGGAAGATGATCAGGACCCTGTACTGATATTATACAAGGTCACGGGTGATGTGGGGACACCCCACTTTCCCTGAAGGGAGCCGTGACTGACCGTCACCGCTCACTGCAGGAAGATGATCAGGACCCTGTACTGATAGTATACAAGGTCACGGGTGATGTGGGGACACCCCCTTTGCCCCCACATCACCCCACGGGTGATGTGGGGGCAAAGACACCCAGGTCACCAATACAAGTGGGAGCAGAGCCAATGACTACAGCAAGGGGAGATCTCAGCACTGGGCTTATGGGCAGACCTTACTAACTTGTGGCACCCCCCCTAAATCTGGAATCTCAGTGGACTGGCCCTTTAAGGATGACCCTGTATACAATGTAACGCATGGAAAAGATTCAGAACGAACCAATATAATGTTAGTCGGGGTGGGTACATATGTGTGCGTCTAATTAGATCCAGCACATAATATAAAATGAAAAGCCTGACATCAGAAGAGGAAATGCTGCCCCCTGACCACAAGAGCTTACAATCTAGAGTATCAGATCTTATAGAAAGAAAAGTCTCAACAAGTAAAGAGGAAGCTGACCAGTCTGCGTGTTGCGATGCGTTTGTGGCGCTCTCCATATCGGTTGCGTGTTGTCTGTGGAGCTCATGGAATACTTTGTAGCATCTTTACTCATTATCCTTTCATCCTGTAATTCCGGAATCATTTCAGACGCATCAACTTTCATGTGGCGGTGCGCGGCACTTAGTCTAATGATACGGCGAGTGCTCCTGCGATAGTTTTCCTAAGTAGGCGATCGCTGATTCTCACATTTCTCCCGTTAGGAATGTTTTGTCGTTAGCGGTCCAGATTATACGTCCGCGTAATCCGCCTTTTTATTCCTCGCGCCGCTCAGACGCCAATCTGCATGAAATCTCATCAATTTCCCTCCATAGAGCCGGGCTAAGGACGCCAAATTGCTGAAATTGCGATAATCGCGGCATAAAGCAGCAGCGCGTCAGGTAACGAGCGGCTCGCAATTATACGGCTGCCGATAACTGGATGGAACGCGTTTGTGGGATGCGCAGAACGTGTTATTTACCCGGCGCTGCGGAAACGTCTTCTACTTACCTCCCCGCTGTGGCGGTAATTATACTTTATGGTTTCTGTAGATTTTATGGGTCGGCGCCGCACTTCAGACACCGTTAATGCGTTAGGTGTGGTCGCTTTAACTACGCATTTAATTTAATGCGCCAGTAAATCAGGAAGCGCCGCCGCAGTCCTGTCACCGCCTACACAGCTTGGCCTAAATAGCAATTTATTTTTTTCTCAAAAAAAGCTTTTTATACTTTTTTTTTTCCGTTGTATTTAGTCATTTTTGTTTGTAGTTCTTCTGTGAGACTTTCCTTGTGGACAAAGTTCTGACGACTCGGAGAACTCCAAGATTACAGATTACAGGGCGGCTTTATGTTCCTTCCCAGGGGCAGCACAAAAAATATCTTTATACGGCGGCAAGGAAAATCGTTTTGTCTTTTTAAGTGATCTTCTGTACAAGGAAATCCATAGGACCCTATTGTAACCACCACCAATGACCATCTCGGCCAACCCGGTGACACCAGTGAATAATGGAGGTGATTGTGCCACTTCTGGTGTCACTGATGGAAACAGAATGTGTTCCGTATCCTCAGGGCTCACCCAGAGGGATGTCAAGGTGCCTCCTCGTATAAGAAGAGGAATTCAAGCGGATCAAGGACAAAAAAACAATGTACACATCCGGATCTATAGAGACAGCTGTGCCCTGGATTCAAATAGCTCCAAAATATAATAATAGGAGAGAAGAGAGGACAGATAGTGTGCAACTAGACCCAGAAGACTGTGTGATGTCCTCCCATCTCTACATCAATCCCCAAAACTGTTATTATTCACTGAGTCCCACAATCATCTCTCTCTCCCTCCCCTTCTCTCCCCTTCCTCTCTCCTCCCCTTCTCCTCTCTCTCTCCCCCTTCTCCACCTCTTTGTCTCCCCCTCTCTCTCTCCCCCCTCCTTCTCCTCTCTCCTAGCGTTCCCTCCTTCTATTTGCATTGACATAATTAACTTCTGTGACTTCCTGTTTCTTCCATTGACTTCCTCTATTTCTTCCTCCATGTCATTGGCATTCAGAAGATGATTGTTCTGGGACTTCTTCTGCTTGCTGATTGTGTGACGGGACTACATTGTACACAGACGTTTCCATCTCTACATCGGACTCTGTCGTTTCCAGTAATTCTTTCTTCCGAGTGGCTGTGAAAATTCAGCTAGTGTGTTCCCTCTGGCCTCGTTCACACACACTGCACCACGAGAGGGAGGTTGCACCTCCAGTAAACAGACCCACCCAGCAGCACTTGTGAGAGTTTTTTGGAACCGGGCAGCGAAGGGTTACTTACAGGCATGGTTACAATGTTTCCTGTGCGCTCCTCCAGATATTACATTAGAAGTATTTGTCAGGATCAGAGACTTTATAAATCCTCATCGGTCATATCACCAGAAATCCTCCAACGTCTTCTATGTCTTCCGCTGAGCCGCCCAGCAAAGGGTTAATAATGGGGTATCCAATGCCGGCAATCCATCCGATGACATTCTGTCGGTGATGTCTGACGGCGGAGGGGAAGCTAATTCCCGGTGACAGGTCCACTTGGTTGTCATTTACCGCACAGCGGGTGTATCGCGTTCCCACATCTGATACAGATCAGGCGGTTGGCGGACTGTGTCAGTACATGTTACCAGGCGACGTTGTTGAGATGTATCCGCGTAGAACAACATCGTCTCGTGTTGCCGAGCGCCTCCGACATGGACGGCTGGGGAGACGTGAGCTGCAGAGCGCACGCCTGCCAGTCGTAGGAGCGCATGGAGCGCGCAGCGCCGGCCGCCTTCTGTGTCAGACAATTTCTATCTGTTAGGCTGTATTCGTGATCTGTGTCTGAGCTCCTCGCCGGCTGGATGCACGGGATACGGTGGATTTGATGTACAGTGGTGTCGATTGGTTTTGGCACATCAGATTTGGGGTGCACAGCATGTGAATGAGGATTACAGCTGCTGGGCGGAACCTTTATGTTCCAGCCATTGTCTGAGCTCATGCCGGACTTGGCTGCAACCATTGGAACATAGGCGCGGTGTGTCTGCGGGAATCCAGGACGGACTGTCACATAGGCGCGGCGTGTCTGCGGGAATCCAGGACTGACTGTCACATAGGCGCGGCGTGTCTGCGGTGAATCCTGGACGCACTGTCACATAGGCGCGGTGTGTCTGCGGGAATCCTGGACACACTGTCACATAGGCGCGGCGTGTCTGCGGGAATCCTGGACGCACTGTCACATAGGCGCGGCGTGTCTGCGGGAATCCTGGACGGGCTGTTACATAGGCGCGGCGTGTCTGCGGGAATCCTGGACGCACTGTCACATAGGCGCGGCGTGTCTGCGGAAATCCTGGACGCACTGTCACATAGGCGCGGTGTGCCTGCGGGAATCCTGGACGGGCTGTTACATAGGCGCGGCGTGTCTGCGGGAATCCTGGACGCACTGTCACATAGGCGCGGTGTGCCTGCGGGAATCCTGGACGGATTGTCACATAGGCGCGGCGTGTCTGCGGGTATCCAGGACGGACTGTCACATAGGCGCGGTGTGCCTGCGGAAATCCTGGACGGATTGTCACATAGGCGCGGCGTGTCTGCGGGAATCCTGGACGGATTGTCACATAGGCGCGGCGTGTCTGCGGAAATCCTGGACGCACTGTCACATAGGTGCAGAAGTCCTCCTTGTATCTCAGGAATGTGTCACCGGTGAGAACGCGGTGACGCAGTATCGCAATCTTCTGATGGCGCGGCCGCTGCCTGGGGCAGAATTGATGTAAATGTGATATTGGTTCCCAGAGAGGTGCGCTCATTGACATCGCTCGCTTCGCGTGTCTGAGGTCGCCTGCGGGCAACATGGCGTCATATGAACGCATCGCGGCGGTGGGCCGGACTCTGATGGAGCTGGAAGGTCGCCTCGTCTTTTCATCCAGCAACAAAATGCTTTTATTATTTGTATTGCTCATTTTAAATGTCAGCGTGCTGTATACACACAATGATTATAGAGGGGGGAGGGGGGGTCACAGCGAGGGTCACCCCAGCGCACAGCTCCACTCTGGGAGAATCCACAGATGAAATACATGTAAGGGAGCTGATTAGTATATCTCTTCATCCAGTCCTTAGATTTGTACAGCTCTGTCACAAAGCACAGCCCTGCCTGCTGCAGCTCAGTAACACTTACAGGCCTGCTCCCTCCCCCAGCCTGTGACTGGACACTGAACTGAGAAGCAGCAGACTGATGAGCTCATCTCTCTGTCACTCTGCTCTTTCCTCTTATCCGCATGTTTCTTGTTGGCAAATTAATACTAGGGCAGCTGATTGGTTCCTTGTGCTGCTTCTCAATTCCACAGTCTGAGCTCTGCTGTGCATGGATAATAACATACATCCCACTGGAATCCCAATGTAGTCGCATGGTTTGCTGGCGTGACCACCGGACGAAGCCGTGTAAATACAAATATGTAAGTAGTCACCCGCACACCAGGTCCAGGCTGAGAATACATGACGGCAGTAGAGGACAGCGGTGCGGGGAGGCTGGTGGGCGGTCACATTCAGGAGCTGACATACATTATATACATTGACTGATCCGAGGTGGTTACATTGTATCTTTTATCTGTAACATTGTATCTTTCGTGTGTCTGGAGTTCCCCTCTTCATGGCGGCACTCATCAGTCCGTGACATGGGGTGGAGAGTGGACTGCGGCCCGTCAGGTGACATGAATGACGTCTGTTGTGCTTTATCTTGCAGAACGCCGAGCTACAACTACGCCCCGAACCCCGACAAGCACTGGATCATGAGGTACACGGGCCCCATGATGCCCTTAGTTCCACCACAGCTGGAGGGCCGGAGGTTTGCTACCCCTGATGTACAGGGATGCTGACCGTTCTATCTGTCAAATGGTTAGGAGGTGCATAAAACTTATTTGGGTTTCTATTTAATGAACACTTCCAGCATGCAAGCATGGCTTACGATTCTAGCGCAAGGCCACGTTAGCATGCCCAAAGTTCACTTTAAGACGCTTTAAAGGCCAATTATACTTTAAATCAGCCAAGAACGTTCCAGGTGCATCAAAACCAAAGGTGCTGAGAGGGGAAATCTCTCCAAAGTGCTCCCATTGGAACATTTCACCTCCCTTCCTGTGCCGGTGACTACTGTGGAATGTTGGATTTCACATCACTTCCTGTTCTGGATGCACCAGGACCAACAATTGGTGAATCTCCGCAGCGGGCACACAGACAGGAATAAGCACCTGGCAGGGGCTCTGACGTGCCACCCTTAAGATTCCACTAGATATACGCTGGAAGGTGGCGGCGTTCTCTGGACCGCGAAACGATCTTTCGCAGTTGTTCTCCCGTTGTCGTTCCTCTGCGCCGGCCTGTTCATATTTTATGAGCTCCCCTTTCCGTCTTCATGATTTCGGTTTTACGTTTTCTCCCCTGGAAGCCCGGGGACGCATTCATTGCGCTTCGTACAAATTACGAGCAGGCGGACGCGCGGCCTTTTCGCTGGCGCCAATGTTTTATTAATCCGCAAATTGGACAATTTATTGTTTTTATTTACTGAGTTAATAACCGCGCGGCCGATCGCCTCTCCTCGCCGGCGGGGGAGGGACACGCGGGGGGGAATATCGATGCACTTTGGCTGCTCGGAGATGATTCCGTTCTCCGAAACGCATCTGGCCAGCGTGAAGGTTTTCCCGGGCAGCGATGATTCAAGTGTACCTGTCCTGCTGCCTCTGGATACAATGTTACAGACTGATCACTGGGGGAGAGGAGACTGAGGAAACGCTCCCTCCTGCCTGCAACAGACTGATCACTGGGGTGAGGGGAGACTCAGGAAACGCTTTCTCCTGCTTGCAGCGGACTGATCACTGGGGGAGGGGAGACTGAGGAAATGCTTCCTCCTGCCTACAGCAGTCTGATCACTTGGGGAGGGGAGACTGAGGAAATGTTTCCTCCTGCCTGCAGCAGACTGATCACTGGGGGAGGCGAGACTGAGGAAACGCTTCCTCCTGCCTGCAGCAGACTGATCACTGGGGGGAGGGGAGACTCGGGAAACGCTTCAGGGGGGACTGATGACATCATCTCAGCCGTGGCAATGGCAGGCGGTGTCTGTGTGTTGAGCTCTATAGATGGGAGATTTCGGCTGAGGTTGATGTTGGCGTGTTGCTGTATCTGCAGATCTATGACATGTTGGTGGAGACAGGGGAGATGGAGAACACGTATATCATCTACACGTCTGATCACGGCTATCACATCGGACAGTTCGGATTGGTGAAAGGGAAATCCATGCCGTACGAATTCGACATCCGGGTGCCCTTCTATATCCGGGGGCCCAACGTGGAGGCCGGCGCACTGTACGTCTTTCCTTTCTCCTAATGGGCAAAGGGGATCTGATTGTTTCATGGTGGACCCATTCCCTGGCCCGACCTTCTGCTAACCCCCCATAATTCCTTGGCCTGACCTTCTGTTACCCCCCCTCCCCCACATTCCCTGGCCTGACCTTCTGCTACCCCCCCATAATTCCCTGGCCTGACCTTCTGCTACCCCCCCATAATTCCTTGGCCTGACCTTCTGTTACCCCCCCATCATTCCCTGGCCTGACCTTCTGGGTCCCCCCCCCCATCATTCCCTGGCCTGACCTTCTGGGTCCCCCCCCTCATCCCCCCCATCATTCTGTTACAACATTCCCTGAACCTGATCTCCTGTGACCCATTCCCTCTGTGACCTTCTCTGATCCCCCATTCCCTGACCTTCTGTTTCTGTTACCCCCACCCATCATTCTCTGACCTACTGTTACACCCCCTCCTCCTGTCTGCAGGAATTCGCACATCGTGCTGAACATCGACCTGGCCCCCACCATCCTGGACATCGCCGGCTTGGACATCCCCCCAGACATGGATGGAAAATCCATCCTGAAACTGCTGGACACGGAGAGGCCGGTCAACAGGTGAGGAGACAATGCAACTTACTCCGCCCATAAGGTGGGTGTTGGGGAAGGAGGGGTTTATAGAGGTGAAGGGGAGGAGACAATTTAACAATTGATCCGCCCTTAAGGCGAGTGTTAGGGAAGGAAGGGGTGAAGGGGAGGAGACAATGTAACAATTGCTCCGCCCCTAAGGTGAGTGTTGGGGAAGGGTGGGTTTAAAGAGGTGAAGGGGAGGAGACAAAGTAACAATTGCTCCGCCCCTAAGGTGGGTTTTGGGGAGGGAGGGGTTTATAGAGGTAGAGGGGAGGAGGGTGTTAATTTGTACCCTGACCTCCAGGCAAATATAAAAGTTACAAATGAATGTCGGCGCGCAGCGTTGGTCAGGCGCGGTCCGTATGCTGGTTCTGGGCCGGGGTCTGTGATTTGAGCGCACACATTGCTGGTCGATGGATTTCCTCTGACATCATTATTCTGAGAAAAAATGTAAAAGCGTTCTTCCCTTTTCTGGCAATAATCTCATCAGAATGCCATGTTTGGGGCGGAGTCAGGAGCTGTGTGATGGTCCGTCAGATGTAACCAGGACATGAAACTCCTCCCCGTGTCTCTCACGTTCACCATTTTGTTGGAACATTTCGGATTTTTGGGTTTCTGTTCCCTTTTAGTGTCACATGAAACAGCCGGGCTGGCGGCGTCACGCAGCCTTCCAGTAACCATGGAGATGAGAGTTCTCAAACTTGACTTGATTGGGCAACTTCCCCTTGAAAGCTGCAGAATTGGCGTTAATTCTCCTCGTACGTGACGGCGGTGTCATGCTCGGGGCTTTGGGTCCTCAGACTGACGCGGTTTCCCTGGATATTGACACCGCGCCGGAGCCCTTTTCATGATGCGGCGTAGTTGGCCACTGGAAAGTGAGACGGGAAAATAATGTCCCAAAATTCCAAGTGACCAACAGTATGTGGACCCCTAAAAGTGACCAAAAGTATGTGGACCCCTAAAAGTGACCAAAAGTATGTGGACCCCTCCAAATGGAGTTCACGTGTCTCCAGTGATGCATGTTGTTGTATTAACAGAACCCAAAGACATTGTAGAAATGTGCTCTTCCAACTCTCAAGCCCTCAGGAGCTTCAGTTGAGGCCCCCTATATCAAGAATGTTGACCACCACTGAGCATACTATATGGCCAAAAGTATGTGGACCCTCCAAATGACTGAGTTCAGGTGTCTACAGTGAAAGTTCTGTTCATCCTACAAAGACATTGTAGACAATTCCAGCCTTGTGGTCACAGTTTGGTGAAGGTCCTTTTCTGTCCCACCATGACTGTCCCCTATGTACAAAGCCAGCTCCATAAAGACATGGTGTGACCAGTTTGGTGAAGACCCTTTTCTGGTCCACCATGACTGTCCCCTGTGTACAATGCCAGCTCCATAAAGACCTGGTGTGACCAGTTTGGTGAAGACCCTTTTCTGGTCCACCATGACTGTCCCCTATGTACAAAGCCAGCTCCATAAAGACATGGTGTGACCAGTTTGGTGAAGACCCTTTTCTGTTCCCCCATGACTGTCCCCCGTGTACAAAGCCAGCTCCATAAAGACATGGTGTGACCAGTTTGGTGAAGGTCCTTTTCTCTCCCACCATGACTGTCCCCTGTGTACAAAGCCAGCTCCATAAAGACATGGTGTGACCAGTGTGATGGAGGAACTTGTGTGTGCTGCACAGAGCCCTGACCCCAACCCTGCTAACCACTTTTGGGATGAATTGGAATGCCGATTGTGAGCCGGGTCTTCTCATCCAGCATCAGCACCTGACCTCACAAATAGGCACCAATTCCCACAGACACCCTTCGAAATCTTGTGGAAAGCCTTCCCAGATGAGTGGAGGATGGTATAACCGCATAGAGGCCAACTCCATATAAATGGCGATTGGTGGAATGGGACAATTCCATATCATTGACCATGGTCTTGGAATGGGATGTCCAACAAGCTCATATAGCTGTGATGGTCAGGTGTTCTCAGACTGCTGGCTGTACATTCTATAAGATCAGATATCCAGATCAGTGCCCATCTGCTCCCTACATCCTGGTGTTGGAGTGTGAAGGGTTGGTTGAAAGCAGAACCAGGTTTTATATATTAAGAGGTTGATTTAATAATGTAGAAATGATTACTCCAGAGGTCCAGGGAATCTCTTCTTTGTAAGAACCAAAAAACATGGAAACAAAGAAACTTCCTCTGAAACCTATTGTATCCCATGTGGGACGCGGGTCTGTGCGTGTCGTGGGGACGCGGGTCTGTGCGTGTCGGAGGGTTGTAGGTCTGCGCATTCATTGGATGTAATGTGACTTGTTTCCTATGAATACAGGTTCCAGGTGCAGAAGAAGGTGAAGGTGTGGAGGGATTCATTCCTGGTGGAGCGCGGGTGAGTTCTGACCTCCACGTCCTTCATATATGATTTCTCTGCTGAGCTCTCTGCTAATCCTGAGACACTACAATATGGTGCCACCATCACTGGCTGCATGGTTTGGGGGGGTGACAGAGGATCTCCCGGTACATTGCCGGGTCTCCTCCCCCCTCACTGGCTGCGCCCACCATTGTCCGGCATTGATGCACATGACATCACTGGGGGGCAGACCTGAGAGGACCATCCAGTCCAATAACATTCCAATATTAGTGTCCTGGGGAGGGACCCGTGTATGTATCTATGTATGTGATGTTATCTCTCCTCGCACTCGCACGCGGTGCCGACATTGGCGCGGTCACGTGCTGCCACAGTCCCTGGGTCTCAGTGATTTCTCTGTCTGTGTTTTAGTAAGCTGCTACATAAGCGAGAGGTGGAGAAGCCAGATGCCCAAGAGGAGAACTTTCTGCCCAAGTACCAGCGAGTCAAAGATTTGTGCCAACGAGCCGAATATCAGACGGCCTGCGAGCAGCTGGGACAGGTACCCAAAATCCTCCATGACCCCTGTACATGGCCTGGGAATGGGGGAGGGGCACATAACTGGTAAATGGTCTCCTCTGCAAAGATGGGTCCCGCCGAGGCACCTCTTCTATAATCCTGGGGGCGGGGGAGGGGGGACCTATACATCCCGCATTGAGCTCACATGTGGAATTTTCCTCCCCTAGAAATGGCAATGCGTGGAGGACGCGACCGGAAAGCTGCGACTACACAAGTGTAAAGGGATGGCGAGTCTGAAGGCCGCCCCCAGCGCTGCCAAGAAATCCCCAAATCTGATGAGCAATCACTACGCCAGCGACGAGTGCAACTGCGACCCGATCACCTACAAGATAACGCCGCTGGGCCGCCGCAAGAAGCTCCTCACCAAGAAAAGTGAGCGACCGGCCGCGAGCGTCCGTGTCCCCATCCCCCCTCCCCCGAGCTCTGACATATACTGCAGCGCTGACAACACTGAGCCAATCACATCAGTCTCTGTACAGAGGAGCTTACACTCTAATGTAAAGGAGGGACAAGACCTGTAAGTGTTAATGAACTGCAGCAGAGAAGAATCAGGTCCTGATGGTCTGGGCTGTGCTGTGTAAATCTCAGGACTGGATGGACACATAGAATCCGTCATGTATGTATCTCCGTGTGTCTGGCGTGTTCCCCTGTAGGATGGTCGGGGGGACCGTTTTGGTTCCATTCTGGAAAGTTCGGCGGCTCGGTATTTTTCTTCCTCCATTACGGTGTTAATGTTCCTCGGAGACTCTCTCGTATTTTCTCGCCGTGATTTGGCTGCCGCGGCGGGTTTTCCGGAGCCGCAGTAAAGTTGTCGCGGTTTTGTCACCTCCTAAGACGCCCAATTCCCGCCGAGGGGCCGTAAATCCGCGAAATGACTTTCCACAGCGACGGCCCTGCAAATATAAAACCTCCTCCAGCTCCCCGACCGCCAGGAAACCTCCCCCCCTCCAGATACCCCGGAGTGACGGGCGGCCCGTGTCGCCTGCAGAGGCCGGTGCCATCTTATTTACTCCATGCACACTGGGGGAGGGGAGACTGAGGAAATGCCTCCTCCTGCCTGCTGCAGACTGATCACTGGGGGAGGGGAGACTGAGGAAATGCTTCCTCCTGCCTGCAGCAGTCTGATCACTGGGGGATGGGAGACTGAGGAAATGCTTCCTCCTGCATGCAGCAGACTGGTCACTGGGGGAGGTGAGACTGAGGAAATGCTTCTCAGCGGGGTTTGTGGTGTCCTGGCGCCATCTGGTGGTGGTTCAGGTGTAGTGCGGGCGCAGTGTTTTATTATAGGGAGTTTCCGGGGTTTGTATTTGTTGGATGTGACGGTGATCTGTGCACACCGCACCCCGTCTGTAATGCTGATCTGTGTCCTCGTTCACCCCGGTGCAGGACCATAGGAATCTCATTTATTTTCTGTGGGGCTGTTCACACCTATGGGACTTGTAGTTCCACAACAGCCGGAGGGCCAGAGCTGCCCACCCCAGATCCTCGGGGGGGGGGGGGGGGGAGAGAGAAGATATATTTACCCGATCCTCAGTCCTGCTGCAGTTGCCGCTCTCCTCTCTTTCCCTCCGCTCCACCTTTGGCATGTCCATCAGTGTCCTCGTGTCTATAAAGACCGGTCACTGCTGCTCTCTCCTTGTGCAGGGTGACTGGTCTTGTCTCCTCCCCCTCCTGTCTATAAAGACCGCTCACTGCTGCTCTCTTTCCTTGTGCAGGGTGACTGGTCTTGTCTCCGCCCCCTCCTGTAATAAAGACCGCTCACTGCTGCTCTCTCCTTGTGCAGGGTGACTGGTCTTGTCTCCGCCCCCTCCTGTAATAAAGACCGCTCACTGCTGCTCTCTCCTTGTGCAGGGTGACTGGTCTTGTCTCCGCCCCCTCCTGTAATAAAGACCGCTCACTGCTGCTCTCTCCTTGTGCAGGGTGACTGGTCTTGTCTCCGCCCCCTCCTGTAATAAAGACCGCTCACTGCTGCTCTCTCCTTGTGCAGGGTGACTGGTCTTGTCTCCGCCCCCTCCTGTAATAAAGACCGCTCACTGCTGCTCTCTCCTTGTGCAGGGTGACTGGTCTTGTCTCCGCCCCCTCCTGTAATAAAGACCGCTCACTGCTGCTCTCTCCTTGTGCAGGGTGACTGGTCTTGTCTCCGCCCCCTCCTGTAATAAAGACCGCTCACTGCTGCTCTCTCCTTGTGCAGGGTGACTGGTCTTGTCTCCGCCCCCTCCTGTAATAAAGACCGCTCACTGCTGCTCTCTCCTTGTGCAGGGTGACTGGTCTTGTCTCCGCCCCCTCCTGTAATAAAGACCGCTCACTGCTGCTCTCTCCTTGTGCAGGGTGACTGGTCTTGTCTCCGCCCCCTCCTGTAATAAAGACCGCTCACTGCTGCTCTCTCCTTGTGCAGGGTGACTGGTCTTGTCTCCGCCCCCTCCTGTAATAAAGACCGCTCACTGCTGCTCTCTCCTTGTGCAGGGTGACTGGTCTTGTCTCCGCCCCCTCCTGTAATAAAGACCGCTCACTGCTGCTCTCTCCTTGTGCAGGGTGACTGGTCTTGTCTCCGCCCCCTCCTGTAATAAAGACCGCTCACTGCTGCTCTCTCCTTGTGCAGGGTGACTGGTCTTGTCTCCGCCCCCTCCTGTAGTATGAAGTATGAAGTGACCTTTGTGTAGAGCAGTGTATACATTGCCCCCCTCCTCCCCCCATGCGTTGAACCTTCTCTCTCCCCGTAGAGTACAAGGCCGGCTATCTCCGGAACCGCTCGGCTCGCTCGGTGACGGTGGAAGTGGGCGGGGAGATCTTCACCATGGCGTTGGAGCGGGAGTACCAGCCGGTGCTGAAGAGAAACTTCACCAAGCGTCACATGTCCACCCCGGAGGATGACGAGGACAAAGATGACGAGGATTTCAGCGGGACGGGAGGTCTCACCAACGAGCTGATGGTGCCCAGCGGTCTGAAAGTGACACACCGGTGAGATACGAGGGGATGATGGGGGTTGTAGTAGACTGTTGATCCTGCCAGAAATCTTGTCAGCTGGTAACTCCTTATACCATCTGCCTGTGCGGACTCTTATCAGTGACATTGTTCACCTCCCCTCTATGCTATGGACATGGGGAGAGGGGGAGGTTCTCTGTAGTCCGATCCTAGGGTGACAACGCTGCTTCTCCATAGAATACACAACGTGTGTTGTCACCCCCCCTGAAACAGGAAGTGTGTCACCGGTAGGATCAGCAGGTGAAAAGATTTGATGTGTTAGATTGGCAGTGCAGGGTTGTGACTCTAATCTCTCTGATCTCTCCTCCTGTCAGGTGTCACATCCTGGCCAATAACACGGTGCAGTGTGATGTGGATGTGTACAAGTCTCTGCAGGCCTGGAAGGATCACAAACTCCACATTGACCACGAGGTGAGTGTCGACCGCAATGCCGGGGGGGGCTATGAATGAGGGCGATGTGATTGGACGCCGCGCTCTCTCTTCCTCTCCCCAGATCGAGACATTGCAGAACAAGATCAAAAACCTGCGGGAGGTCAGAGGTCACCTGAAGAAGAAGAGGCCGGAGGACTGCCCCCTCTGACCATTGGCTGCCTGCCCCGCCCCCTCTGACCATTGGCATTGTCTGCAGGAATCCGGTGAAGTCTCAGGACAAGATGTGGGTCCTGCGGGAACAGAGACGTAAGAAGAAGCTGCGCAAGCTGCTGAAGAGGCTGAAGAACAACGACACTTGTAGCATGCCGGGACTGACCTGCTTCACCCACGACAACCAGCACTGGCAGACCGCCCCCTTCTGGACACGTAAGGGTCTCATTGGCTGCTTCCAAGGCAAATGCAGATATTGTTTCCGTGCCACGAGAATGTCGGCTCCTCCCATCACCAATGTATCTAACATAGTGCAGATGACAAGTGGTTGATGTGGCGGCTGTATTAGTTTTCTCCGATGAGGCCAAGTACTGGAAGATAGCTGCTGATCCTGCCAGAAATGTAGTGTCCTTGTAACTTCCTGTGCAGTGAACTGAAACCTCAAAGAGTGCTATTGGCCCAGTCCCAGCTATCTTCTGTGGACTATGGAGCACCTCCCACCCCTGAGATGGAGAAAGTGAGGTTATTTGTAGTTCATATCAGAAGAGCCGCCTATGGTGACAACAGTGCTCGCTTCATATATACAGTACAAGTGAGTGTTGTCACCCGAGGACAGGAAGTGTGTTACTGGCAGAATCACCGGCTTCAAATAAAGAGAAAAAGCCTCCAATGTAGGGAGCGGTGAGCGGCAATATAGGACATTTTGGGGATCGATATTCTTTGTGATTGGCGAGCTGTAATTTGGGGGTTTATATTGGTAAAGGACGGAGGTCGCCGGCGCGGCGTATTCATGGCTGTCACTGTTCTTGCCGTGCAGTTGGGTCGTTCTGTGCTTGTACGAGTGCCAACAACAACACGTACTGGTGCCTGAGGACCATCAACGAGACGCACAACTTCCTGTTCTGTGAATTCGCAACGGGCTTCCTGGAGTATTTTGATCTCAACATTGATCCGTACCAGGTAAGGGCGTTGGGGGAGGGGCCATGACCACCACAGCGATGGGTTTCTCCCCAATTCTTCCACATTCGATGTTCCTCCCGCATTATACACACACCTACGTATTACAATCACATGACATTGCCAGCATGTGTATAATAAAGATGTTCTCTTTGTGATCCGATGCCGCAGGTCGGGCTCTATTGAAGCTCTGTAGATTTTTGTTTGGTTTCCAGTGTTGAGCACAGAATTGACCCGCTTTGGGTGACAACCAGTCCGGGTTGTAGTAGTAACAATGTATTTTGTTTTACGTTCTTCTATTACTTCCTACGGACGTCATGTGCTGATGCAAAATGACCACAAGGTGGCAGCAGATCACTGACTAAAAAGACGGGTTGGTGTTCTGCTGCCCCCTGGCGGCCATCGTGTATACTGCACTTGTGTGCACCGCATGCATACATTCCCTCACACTCTGGTGATTTGAGTAGCGGTCCCAAAGGATCACTAAACAAGTCGTGTCACCAACTTGAATATATTACTTTTACCTCGACCACCTTGTTTTTACATTTCTTCTGCACACCTTTTGACTCGATGACATCATTACTGAATTTATTTTAAGAAATTTCCCAAATACGTCGGATGTGATATAGACCCTTGGTTCTCAACTGGTGGGTCATGACCCAAAAGTGGGTCGCGACCCCGTATTCAGTGGTTCGCTGCATGCCTTCCACTTTTCTAGGTGAGAGGTTCCTATGCGCACCCCTGGCGCAGCACTGTCAGTTCTCTCGCCAAGCAGCCATTCAAAATATGCCGCCCGGTGCCGAGTGTCAGCTTGAGGTGAGGTGGTCTGGGGATATGGCCACGATGGAGCTCCATCCATACGTGCATTGCTTACGGCTCCCTTGCGTGTCCTACAGAGGTGCCTGGACCGGAATGATGTCACATTCTGGCTCCCGGCACTTCTATAGGGTGCGTGAGGGAGCTGTACAAGTGGATGCACATATGGCCGGAGCTCCATCACAGCACAGCAGCCCACACTGGACCCCAGGCTGAGGATCCACTCCAGTTCTTGTACGGTAGGGAGACTGGGGGGATTGTAAAAAAAAATTGGGGGGAGTCTGTGAGTGTGTGATATTGTGTCTGTCAGTGTTTTTGGTGGCCCATTCACACTAGTTAATTGCACAGTCCCATACATTGCCATTCGTTTGGCACCCCAAATGCATCTCCCGCCTACAGTTCTGCCACCCACATCGGAACGCGCGGTGCCGCAATGCCATGTGTTCCGTTGCAGTGCAGACTTGGGTCGCCACTTAATGACCGAGGACAAATGTGGGTCCTGAGGTAACACAGGTTGAGAACCACTGATGTAGACAAAGGCATTAAAAAAGGGAGGAGGGGGAGGGGAGCATATGGAGAATAATGAAAGGTTGCGACATCTCGGGTGTATAAAGACGCCTTTGAAATGTCTTTATTATAAAGCCCGTCATCGGCTCTGGCTCATCCATTCCAGGTTTGTGTTTACTTTAAGATGCAAATAAAGCTTTTTTTTGTTCTAGAGTAGCAAAGGGTGAAAACCCGTCCGGTTGTTTTTTTGCTGTGTCTCCCTGGGGAGATTTTACTTCATTTACCGTCCTGGAGAAGCAACAGCAAATCTCAGCAAAGTGAACAGAATGGCCATCATGGAGAGACGGGAACAAGCGCCCTCATTGGAGGATTTCTTCCCTCTTACCCTGGTGACAACTCCACATTCTGGGGATTTCCCCTCGCTTCCTGCTCCGTGGCAGTGGTCACCAGTACAGACAGAGAAGGGGAAGCATTAAAGGAGAACTATGAGGGGAGTGATTTACATCCTCATAGTTGGATCCGACGTGTGACAATGAGACTGTCACAGGTCGGCTCAATAGATCGGGAAGTGAGAGAACACATACCGGCGTTCGCTCACCTCTCCATCATGTCCCTGCAGAGAGCCGTGACTGTCACTCACGGCTCACTGCAGGGATTCCTCTCCTCCCAGTGCTGACTGGCGGAACGGACAGGGGAGGGGGCGGGTACAGCTGGCTCTGCCTCTCACGCAGCTGGGCGGATCCAGGCATAATTGTCGGGATCCGCTTCAGCTGCGGCGTCTCAGTATACCGCGAGCTGTAGCTCCCTATATACTGAGCTTAGGGTGACGGGAGGACGCTAGTTTGTGTCCTCCTGTTACCCTTACGAGAACTATGGGGGATAGCCCTAACCCCATAGTTCTATAAAGGCCTAACAAGTGGTCCAGCCCGTCCCCGCTCCATACAAAACTCAATCCAATGTTTTCCTTTACAAGGCGTTTGGTGACTTTTCCTGATCCCGCTGCTCTGGCATCACTGGGGGGAGGGGGGGGGGGTGTTGCTGGGATTTGTAGTTCTGCAGTGATATGGATCTGATGTCGTCTCTCTCCTCCTCAGATGATAAACGCGGTGAACACTCTGGACAGAGACGTCCTCAATAACTTACATGTTCAGCTGATGGAGCTGCGGAGCTGTAAGGGGTCCCGGCAGTGTAACCCGCGGACCCGCTCCCTGGATCTCGGTATGTCCTTTTGATTCTTTCTTTCTATTGGTTTATCATATATACATGGCGACAGATGTGCTGGGAGCTCACGCTTTAATCTGGGGGGCCGCGGGCCAATGGAGATTGGATATCGCTATTAGGCAATGGTTTGGATCCTATGGTGTGCTGCCGAGTTATCGCAATATTGAAAGCGGGGTCACCCTCCATATGTGACTCACAAAAGTGGCTGAACAGAACAGTAAAGGTCCGGGCAGGTAATACTGTGCGTGGCTCATGGATGGAGTCCGGCATGAAGCACGTGCAGAGATTCTAACACTCCGGACATTCTCTGTTGCTGCCATTGTTAGTAAAATGACTGACGCTGCACCCCAATGGTCTGTGTGTGCGCCCCACTTCCGTATTATTACACTGACGCTGTGCAATTTATTTACAGGGCTGCAGGATGAAAGTTTTGAACAATACCGGTGAGTCCCCTCAATGTGCTGCCCCTCCCCCTGTGTGTCACTGACCTCCGGACATCGGCCAATCTCCACACTTCTCATTGCCAATGGCGGCTGCGGCTTGCCGGGGTTCCTAGTGCTGGGAATCTGCATTGTTCTTTCTGGCGTCTGCGGGGACACAATCGTCACAATCGTATGAGCTTGTTGGACACTCCGTCCCAAAGCCAGGGACAACAATATATGGAGCTGATGTTGGAGAAGACCCGGCTCATAATCCGCCCAATTCATCACAAAGGTGCTCAGTATGGTTGAGGCCGGGGCTCTGGGGTGGAGAGGTCTAGGACTACCTACCTGTTCTCTACACCAAAGTTAATTAGAATATATGGCTAAATGTTTGTGGACTCCTGACCATCACACCTCCAAATGATGGGGCTCGGGGGGTCTCCAGTGAAGGGTCTGTTAATACTACACCATACAAAGACAACTGTGTGCTTCCAACCTTGTGGTAAAAGTTGGGTGAAGACCCCTTTCTGTCCCACCATGACTGTCCCCTGTGTACAAAGCCAGCTCCATAAAGACATGGTGTGACCAGTTTGGTGAAGGTCCTTTTCTGTTCCCCCCATGACTGTCCTCTGTGTACAAAGCCAGCTCCATAAGGACATGGTGTGACCAGTTTGGTGAAGACCCTTTTCTGTTCCACCATGACTGTGTACAAAGCCAGCTCCATAAAGTCATGGTGTGACCAGTGTGGTGTGGAGGAATGTCCTGTACAACTGGTCACACCATGTCCTTATGGAGCTGGCTTTGTACACAGGGGACAGTCATGGTGGAACAGAAAAGGGTCTTCACCACACTGGTCACACCATGTCTTTATGGAGCTGGCTTTGTACACGGGGGACAGTCATGGTGGGACAGAAAAGGGT